ATGATAAAAAAAAATAAGCACTTCCACTCAATCATCAAAAACAAAACTGGGACATTTCTAAATATGGATTATACATATCCTGGTTTGTCCTTACACAAATTATGGTATTCAAATGCAAATTAAATCCATAGAGAGATGTGAAGTCAGCTGGTGCATCTCTTTTTTAAAATGTGACTCATATGTGTGTCACATATGTCAATCAAACATCCAACTCACAAAACAATGAACAGAAAGATTCAGGGCCACTATGGTGAGATGCTGCAGGGGCTGATGGGAGCCTGAAGGCCTAACTGCTCCGATGTCTGAGTGCGCCTCAGGTTGTCCTTCACACGGACAAACTCTGGGATCTTCTGCTGGTTCTCCCGCTGCCTGATCTCCTCCTGCTCGTACTAGGAAAACAGAGCACGAGTCAGAGTAAGTGTAGAATTTATTGGACAAACAACTCAAAAAGACATGAACACGTGGCTTTTTGTGAAGGGTCACAGTCACCAAAGGTTGGGAGACACTGGTTCAATCTTTAAAGTACCTACCTGTTAAATATTGTTTGGGCTATAAAATAAATTTACTCATGAAACATACGGAAGTTCCAACAAAACATAGCAGAAAATGGAAATACTCAAAGTGTGAGAACATAATTGTACTCAAGTACACTAACTAAAAGTTATAATTTCCACTACTGAGTAGGCATTGTGGCATTGGCCCATAAGATCCCTGCCTTGTCAAACCCTTATGGTAACACCCACAACAGATATGTGTTCAGGCCAAAGAGAATTTATTTGCATTCTATAGTGTTTTGGTTGAATGTCTTTCAGCTGTGTGTTGCATCTGACCTCTTGCAGCTTCTGCTGCCTCTTGCGGAGTTCTGTCTCCAGATCTGAGGGCCTCCGTCGAGCCATCTCCTCCTCTTTGTGTAGCTCCAGTCTGCGCTGCTCCAACACTCGCTTTAGCTCAGGTTTCTCCTCCAGCAGCAGACCCCTAAAGGTCAATACACACAAACACAGTCTCCATCTCTGATGCTGAGAAGATCAATGGTGCTTTTAGTGTTTGACCTCCTGTACCTTTTGTGGCTGAGCAGCAGCTCGCGGTGCAGGTTCTGGTAGCTCGGTGTGTCCACTGAGGAGCCGTTCAGCTTCCTGGGCTGGACGGTGTCATCACCACTGCCGTCTCCTGGGGACTGACGGGACAGTGGCTGATGGCCTGCAGAATTCTCTGAGGAACACAAAGCAGCTAATATCACTGGTCCTACCACTCCTCACGTCCCACAAATTCTACCAACACATTGCAAAAAACTAATATTTACAGAAATAAACAGGACAAAACTTGACTCTACAATAACTGTTAATCAGTAACTGAGTATTTGTATGTTCTTGATTATTTGAGTCACGAAGTCAAATTAATTCAATAGAAAAAAACAAGGATGATTTGATTTAATCAGGTTCAAGCTTATTTTAACAAAAAAATCTATTTATCAATCATTTGATCAGACTGATCGATCTGCAGCATTTGATAGGTTTAATAGATTAACATCTGGGGGATACTTCATATTCGAGTCCACAGTCTTGTCAGTTGTATGCGTGTTTGTTTCAATTTAACTTCCATTATTTGCAAGCAATTGTGCATTAAAGTACCTTTTTTGTGACGCCCATATCCTGGTTTCTGTCGTGTGAAAGCAGAAAAAGAAAAGATAAGCTGTCAGTTATTTGACTGAGTTAAACATGTTAATAGTGATGCACTGACACAGGTTTGTCAAATCTTTATGTTGATCTTCACCTGACTGGACTGAGGGTGTAATCAGATAAAGGCTAAAAGCGATAGTACCTGCTGTGCTTCTTAAGCAGGTGAGCTGTGTTTACTTGGAGGTGACTCAACTCTGACTGTCAGAGGAACAGTAACTTTAGGTTTAGCCACACTGTAAAGAATATTGTTATATTGAGTGAATAACAAGAAAATGATGTAAATATCTTGGTTTAGGACAGTGTGACATAATCTTCCATGGTAACAATACCTTTGCCATACCCTCTGAAACCAGATAACTTTGAGGAGAGGATCACAGTGATCCGGGAACAGATGGCAGATGCTGTTGATGTCTAGCCTTTCTCAGTGTGACCACAGTTTTTCTGTTTATAAGCTGTAAGATCCTTGGCCTGTGTGCATTTTTCCATCCCGGTCCCTGACATAAGCCTTCAGGTCCTGTCCTGCAGGGACGCTGAGCAGGGAGATAACCTGTCGGGTGTGTAACGTGATGGAAGCCATTGTTCCATACAGGGCCTGCAGGGCCGGGACAGATTCCAGCAAAATCACTCAGCCTCATGTTTCAAAACGTTTCCTTCTCTCTTGCACAGATACTCTGAATTATATTGTCATAACCTTTAAAGATACTTTTCAAATACACAAACGCAATATTTATATGTTTCGGCTGTATTTCAAATTGTAGTTAAAGAAAAAATACAGTTTATGTTTGGCCCCATAGTGCATTAGTTAGTGTGTGTGTTACTGTCAGAGGAATACCTTGCATTTCTAAAACACTATATCTTTCCAAGAAAACTTTACTGCCTTTACCTATATCATTCGACAATATGACCATGTTTGAAAATTGGATTTTAAAAAGTCACATGGTCACAAGCAAGACGTGGCTCTATCAGTTTTCTGAAGTGATACAACAATGATCTGAGAACGAAAGAGAAATGTATCTACAAAAATGTGTGGCTCATCATTTACACACTTAATAAATCTTCAGATATCCCAGTGAAGGCATCCTGTAATAAGACGATCTATATTGTTGATCATTTGAAGAGGAATATAAAGTCTGTTGGACATATTGTATAAAGTCAAAATAAGCCTTATATGTTACCTCTCTGAGGGTAAAGTCAAATCCTGACCTGAAGTCAACTAAACATGTGACGGATGGCCACCAGGCCAGACACTGACCTGTCACTCAGACAGTAGTGAAGGCCTCAGAAATGAACTTGCAAGAACTCACTTTTTTTGCATTTGACCCTTCCATGGCAGGAAGGTGGAGGTCCACTGTTTCGTCCAGTAGCAGTGAACCTGTTTCAGTCCATTTTAAAAAGAATCACAGCTCCTCACGTAACCTGTTGTCCGTTGTGTGTTTCTTTGCTGTGGTCAGGTCCAACATGCTGCTGTTGACGAGGGAGCCTCAGACTCAGAGTGCTGCCTGGAAGTAGTCAATAGTGGTAGTAGACGCTGAAATCTTATTACGCCATTCAAGATTACCTCACAACCCCAACAGGTCACAGGACGCTAGATTAGTTAATTGCCACCGACAGAAATGCAGCTTAAATCCAAAGTAACACAGCACTATTACCAGATTCCTCCACCGCCGAGCCCATTAATACTGACTGAGACTCCAACCGAAGGTTTTCGGGCAAAACAACAAACAATATGCTTACAATATATTGGTCAGATATCTTTTTCTCTAGGTTCTTCAGTTTTGGGACACATGTGATCAAGTAACCATTAGTTAAAATACATGGTGGTGTGTTTGCTTGATTTAAAGTATTTTTTAACATAGAAATGGAAATAATCAGCATTTTCAAATAGTTCTCACAAGTCTCTCTGTGTTAGAAAAAAAAACTTTTTTTATCTCCATGGTTTCTGAGCATCAAGTATGTGTTTGTACCACTTCAACATTAAATGACACAACACAGCCTTTGCTTATGTATTTGTTTGTTTCTTTTTTTAAATCTATTGTGACAATACAGATAATTATTACTTATTGTACAGTTACATACATCTTACAACAGATGGGATGCATATAGAGCTTCCAGCAAAAGCCTTTTTCACTTAAATGGTAAACTCAACTCAAACTCAAGAAAGCACAGACGCATAAAATAAAAAAATGTACAGGTGAGAAAAGAGTAAAAACAAGATTGAATAATAGATTATAAAATTATTAAAATGTAATATAAAACACCCTTCTTAACAACAACAACAATAATAATATTATACATTTTATTTATACTGCACCTTTTATACATAAAATGCAAAGCTGCTCAAAGTGCTTTATAAGAAAACCAAAGACATGAAATGAGAAAAGCAAAAAACAAAGATTTAGAATTAAAAAACACACCAATAAAACTAGCAAAAGGTATAAAAGGAAATTAGAGGATAATGGTGTTTTAAAAAGAAGATACAATTAATTAAAGATCATAGAAATAGGACAGACTCTTATAACTTGCTGTTGCTTATCTTTTTATTGACTGTGTCTACAACATTGTGTTTTATCCTGTTTTTGTCTTGTTTTGTTGTATTTCCATATTCTTGCTCAATATTTCTGCTGTGACGTTCATTTTGTTCTCAAAATAATGAACTTTCTGTCCGTGTTAATAAACTTTCTTAGGGTGTAAAACTGTATTTTCTGCATTTAATAGTAAGTAATATCGAATAAAAGGAGAAAGAGGAGAAGATCATTTCAGTTAGTGGCCACACGTGGGCACTATACTTCCTGTTTTTGTTTCTCCCATGGTTCTTTGCGGTCATTCGCTTTATAAGCTGGCCCGGAAGTTCCGTCTCCTCCACAGTATGAATGGCGTATGATTGTGATGTGGGAGAAAGGAAGAGCGTGTGTGTCGACTGCGTGTGAGCGTGAGTTTGTCGTGTGTTTGTGAGAGAGTGTGTCTTTGTTTTAAAACCTACACAGTGATCTTATTTGATCTGGTCGGGCTCGGCTCGGCTCTGACCGGAGATGATAGGAAAGACGCTCGCGAGCCTCCGAGGCGATGAGCAGCGGCATCACGAAAAGCTCCAGAGCCTTCCACTGCTTCATGTTGTGGTTCGAGGTGATGAATTGATCAGATATACTAGTTCACTGCGAGGCTGAGTTCATCTCAAACCTCCGCGATGGACAATGAGTATAGAGGCGATTCTGATCTGACCACAACAGAGCAGCAGTGAGGACGAGGAGGAGCCCAGGACTGTGTTGGAAACTTTTCATATCGCTCCAAGTTGCCGCCATGATGTGAGAAGCATCGAGGGTTTACCTGGTTTACCTGAGACTGAAACAATCCCACGAAGAACTGCAAAAGCCAAATGAACCTAAATGCTTTCACCTATGAATGGGCACAAAATTCTGTTCAGATGAAAAGTCTCTTATCATTCAGTATCTTTATTTATCAATTTAAAGTTCATCACAATTTCCTTTCTCAATCTTCTTAACTTTATGTTATATAACACACAAAGTGCTTGACGAATATAAAAAGTAAAAACAACATAAACGCTAAACGAGACAGATTTAAGCATGACCACATCCATTACAGTGTTAACATCAGGGAATGTTATTTGATAGAGGTTCTTTTTAAGTTTTGATTCAAAGGAAGCTATACTGACTCAGTCTTCTGATTTTACTTGGAATGGGTCTTCTAGTGCCTCAGTGCTCTTATTTCAAAAGCTCTGCCCTCCGAACTCGCCATCAGAGAATAAATTAAACTTTATTTGTAATAGTATTCTTCTGGTGATACAGCTTGTGTCCACTGCCACCAAGTGGCCTAGAAAACTAATAATCTTATCAGAAAAGGGTTGTTGCAGGTCTGCAGTTACAACTTTTACATCTACCTCAAAATGGCTCTCAGAGTGTACACACAATCCATCATATCAGGCCTGGTCATATATAACCAACGAGTATTAACTCAAAGCTTTAAGTTTTAGTTGATATTGTGTTGCTTTTTATTCATCACTTTTTATTTGTGTAATTTCACTATTTTAAAATAAATCTTTGTCCACATCCAAAGGAACAGTAAAAAGTAATTTCTTTTTACTCCATAGAGCTCACAAGTATATTTGATAACCGATTGTCTAAATGTGTTTTTAGTCTATTACTAATGCAATATTTATCACCTGGTAACCAACTACCTTTGAGCTGTGAAGTTTTGAATTTAAATATGGATGAGTTTTGATTTTTTTGTGATCAAACCAGAGTTCTTTTGTACATGGGTTACCATTATTTGGAATTGTTTTACAGATGTCCATATTAAGCTAATATCACCAGTGGTAGATTGAAGGATAGCTGAGAGTAGGTGGTTCAGAAATGTTTCATGATTAACTTAATAAAATATTACTTGTTAACAATAAATTATTTTATGATTAAGATTTCTTTGCTTCTGTCTTTCTGAACATGAGTAATAAACACCATACAGACAAGATTAACTTTATTAAATTAGCTTCTATGAATACGGAAATAAGACCAACAATAATGGATCAACTCAATATAGTAGTGAAGGGACATGTAGACTGTTGATTTCACAGAATAACAAAGAACAGGTATAAAAGATATAAAACCTAAGTTGAGAGGTTTGCGATCAGCTGGGGATTTCTGATATCTCGCGATAATGAACGTGAGCTTTGACGATGGCGTCGTTCTAAACACACGTGACCAGTCTTGTCCAACCAGCTGTCAGCAACAACAGGGCAAAGCGCGGGAGGGAGAGGCTCACATGTAGCTCTTCAAACAGGAAGCTGGTTTTAGTTCACTTCTTTTAACCATGTCCTTCAAACGACCGCGCTCCAGCCATGTTAACAGCAGCTCACAGACCAGCGCCGCCAGCAGTTCCACGGACAGACAGTTCGACGGGGAGGCTCGGTTCGTGGAAGGATCCATACTTCGCATCACCATGAAAAACTTCCTGTGAGTTACCTCCCCCCAACTGCCAGTCAACTGCGCCCTGTGCTAGCTGCGCTGCTAAGCTAACATGTATGCCCGTTACATCCGGGTGATCTGGCCTCTGGCTGCAGCCTTGGGTGGCTGCTTGTGAAACAGGTGGGACCGAGCTGTCACGTAGATGTGTCATTCCATCCCCGATAAACAGAGACTCAGACGGGTGGGTCCCTCCTGGACCAACCCACCACTGCACTTATGTGACAAACCGTTTTTCAAAGAGGAAAACGCTGCTGGCAAGTGACGAGACGTCCAGTGCTTGTGTCTCTTTTCAGTTTGGTCTCTGTGGCTTAAGAAGACCTTGAATTGGGACACAGCTAGTATTTAAAAATGGACGACCGCTCAAAAGTGAAGCCAATGTGTCATGAGCACCAGCTGGTGGCTGACCAACTGGTATAAGTCATAATTAGTCATATTAGTCATAATTCATGCTTAACAGTTAGATGAGATGCAGATAAACAAATATTTAGCATTTAATATCAAACCAAGGTGACTGCAGCATTTTCCCTACTTGATTGTTTAGCAGGGGCACATGTCTCACAATCAGTTTAGTCTTTACATACATTTCGTATCTGTTGTGATTCCAGAACCTATGACCTCTCTGTGTTGCATCCTGGACCTAATCTGAACATGATTGTCGGAGCCAATGGAACTGGCAAGTCCAGCATTGTTTGTGCGATCTGCCTGGGCCTGGCAGGCAAGACCGCTATCCTGGGCAGAGGTGACAAGGTACGCAGCAGAGCCACACTGAAGTTACATTTCATTAGGCATTGCTTTCTTCCCCCAAGGTCTGTGAGTGCATTAAATTGCATCATACAAGGTTTCAGCTGAGAGGAACAGCACAACTGTTAATTTTTAACACAACATTATTTGAATTATACACTTATATTAGCTGACAAAAACTTTTGATGTTTATGATGCCTGTTAAAAAGATTTGTCTCTGTTTGTTTTTTGTAGGTTGGGCTTTATGTCAAACGTGGGTGCACTAAGGGATTTATTGAGATTGAACTGTGAGTTATGTGAAATAAATTTTGCACACACACACACACACACACACACACACACACACACACACACACACACACACAGTAACTGTTGTTACTTGTCTAGTAGGAAAGGTAAGCTTTTAGATACAGCAGATGAAATCCATTTGTGTTGCATTTGTTCCGATGGTCCTGAGGAGCCAGTTTAGACAGCATGTTGATATTCATCTTCATTCTCATTCAGAGATAAAAAAAAAAAAACATGTTACATCAGCCATGGTATCATTATATGTAAAATATTTGAATAACATTCTGTCCATTTTCCCCAGTGCTATGTTTACCTGATTGTTGGAGCACACTTCTTGTTGTTATTTAAGGTACAAGATTGGTGGTAACGTGGTGATTAACAGAGAGATCCACGTGGAGAACAATCAGTCTCATTGGATGTTGAACGGAAGACCCAGTAACCAGAAAACTGTGGAAGAGGAGGTTAAAGCTCTGCACATCCAAGTTAGCAACCTCTGCCAGTTTCTGCCTCAGGTATGACCTTATGCTTTATTAATCAAGTGATGTGGCAAGGCAGTTGAACAGCACAGAATTATTTGTGCTGTAATTTCCTAAATCTAGGAATTTAAAACGTCAAATCTTTCTTAAAAGTCATATCTGATTAACTCTTTTCCTCACCATTTTTCTGTTGATGTGGTTCGTTTGTCCTTAAAGGAAAAAGTGGGAGAGTTTGCCAAAATGTCCAAAATTGAGTTGCTAGAAGCAACTGAGAAGTCAGTGGGACCACCAGAGATGTACGAGTACCACTGTAAGCTCAAAAACTTTCGCAACAAGGAACGAGAACTGGAGGTACAATAATAAAAACCTATAAAAATACAAGAACAATTGTATACACACACATCAAATCACAGTTCTACATCATCTATTATTCAATTTTTTCATCTGTATTTAAAACATTTAATTTTGCACCTACAGTATCAGTGTCTGCTGTGGTTTGTTTCCCTTTAGAACGCTGTTAAAGACAAGGCCAGCTTCATGGAGAAGGCCAAGCAGAGGCATGAGAGGAACAAACTCGATGTGAACCGTTATTACGAAAAGAAGAGACATCTTGACGTGATCGAGCTGCTTAAGAAGAAGAAACCGTGGGTGGTGAGTGGTTAAAACAAAACGTGAGAAAGGGAGACAACTGTACGCAGTCGGATTAAAAGTGAATTCGTTCCCTCTGGCTTTAGGAGTATGAGACCACCCGCAAGGAGCTGGAGGATGTGAAGAGGGAGCGGGACGAGGCTAAAAGGCAGCTCTCTGCCCTGAAGCAGGCCCAGGCACCCATGCTGAGGAAGATCCAGCAGATTGACGACAGACTGAAGCCCACTGACGCACAAATAAAGGCTAAGGTAAAAATCTAAATATCTTATTAACTCTGAGTGATATATCTGAAGTATCACAGTCAGGCCATAAAGAAGAAATGTGGGAAGTTATGTTATTTTTGTTCGAGCTCTAGAAGACACTTTAATTAAACGTGTTTACTTTCAGCCTCAGTGTGCTATCACTAACATTCAATGATGTGTTATTGTCTCATGCTGGTACCTACGACTATAGACAAAGTTTCTTTAATGTAAAATAACCAAGTGTAAATCAGGAATAAATTAAAATATTTATAACATTTTTGGTTTAATTTTGTCATTAGAAATCAAAGGCCAGGGGTTTCAGTATGTTTTCTATAGTGAAATGAACACTTCAATTTATTATTTGTGATGTCATGACAGTTAAGATGAGCTTAACTTTTTTTCAGACTACTGCCATCAAAGACGCATCAAACACATGCAAACAGAAACAAGATCAGTTGGATCGAAAACACAAAGAGGTGAGACTTAATCTTTGTGACTGAACAAAACGTTAAAAGTCAAAATTGAATCCGTGTTTTGACTGTGTGAAGTACACAAACATGTCATGATACAATAAATGTACTTCCATCTTATATTCAGCAGCAAAGAATGTTCTGCTTGTGTATTCATGGTTCATTTTACACCTCCTTCACTGAACATATGTTTATTTAATCAAGCAAATTAACAGCTAATTTGAAGGTTTGGAATTATTTCAGTTAATTAGAAAATAGTATGTATTGTAAGTACAGTATAGTCCCACCTAATATATTTTAAGTTGTCCATGCCTGAGTACAAAGCAGCCTTGATCTGTTGCTGTATGTTTTTCATGAACAATAACAACTCTCCTCTGCAGATTGACGATATTAAACAAACACTGAAACTCAAGCAAACGGAGGAGGAGGACCAACAGAAGCGAATAAGCTACACTAAAAGAACGATCGACGACTTGAAGACAGAGCTCGCCAAAGTCGGCGATCAACCAGATGTGACCCCTCAGATTAATGCCATCAATGTTGAGCTGAGAAGCATCCAGGTGGAGAGAGCCAAGATGGAAGGAGTGAAGGCCGACCTGCGAAGGGAGAGGGACAACGTCTTTGCTGAGTCCAGGGGTGAGTGTTTTCCACAATGTCTTCTGGATCACATTATAATGCTGCATACTCAGGCACTTGAACTCTGCCTTTGTCTGTCACACACAGTTTGTTTCATGTAGATTATGTTTATTAATTTTCTTTGCCAGCGTTGGAGAGGAAGCTCAATGACATGAGCAACATGATGAGGGCCAAAGAGGAAAAGTTGCGATCACGCCACAGGGACACACATTCTGCTCTTCAGTGGCTCCGACAGAACAAAAGTCTGTTTGTTGGGAATGTTTATGAGCCCATGATGCTGATGGTGAGTATCAGTGAATCATGTGGGGGATTCACTTAAATCGTCATGTTTAGCATTGTTTCAGAACATTTAATTAATGCATAATTACACACTCTGATATCATTGTAGGCAGATTTCTATTTTTCCAATACTTTACATACAAAAATAAACACAGCTCAGTCAAGTTCATAATGTTAATAATGTTAACAAGTAAGGACTCTTCCCTTCAGAAAGTGAAACCTGGTTGGTTTACCGATCAGTATTGGGATGGTGATTCTTTTTTAAAAATCAGTTCTGGGGCCTTGTATTAATTCTTTCTTACTTATTCAGATCAATGTCAAAGATCCTCTTCATGCCAAGTATGTTGAAAGTCACATCCCATTCCACGACCTGCGATCGTTTGTCTTCCAGAGGAAAGACGACATGGAGAAGTTCATGACTGAGGTCAGCTTGATATAGAGCACAAATTCTAGTTAACCTTAACGTCCGACGATTCCAACTTATTGTGAGGAATCCAGTTTTACTCTCCCAACTCAAAACCTGAATTGTTTTTACCCTCAGGTCCGTGACAAATTGAACTTGAAGGTGAATTCCATTTCTGCCCCGGAGGAATCGTGTTCTAAAAAGAAGCCTTCCCTAAGTATCGAATCTCTGAGGTGAGAGAAAAATATTTAGTGTAACAAAGAATAAAATCAACATGAACTGTATCCATTTGTATGGTTTTATCTCAGTTTCTGACCATTTTCTTACAAATTTAAAACTCTGTTTTTATCCGCAGGCGTTTCGGGTTCTATTCCTACCTGCGTGAGATGTTCGATGCTCCTGATGAGGTCATGAGTTTCCTCTGTAACCAGTACAAAGTGCATGACGTCCCAGTGGGCAACGATCAGACCAAAGCATTGATCAAAACGGTACGTCCGTCTTTCCACATAATGTCTTCAGAACTGAGTAATTGTGATGGTAGAAACAGGATTTACTGGATGAAGTGAATGTCAGTGATGTCTGTAACAAGGCACCACCAATAAAATTACATCCAAATCACCCCTAAATTAAATTGTTCTGTCTGGTTTAATTTCAACTTGGGTGAGCGCTAGTATCTGCCAAACTCAAACTTTCTGTGCTTTTTCTCCAAGGTGATTGAGGAGCCCTACCTCAAGGTGTTGTACACGACAGAGGAGAGGTACACGGTGAAGAGGTCTCAGTACTCTAAGAAGATGATCACAAGCAACTCTGCACTGAACCCTTCTCAGTACCTCAATATCACTGTGGATGCTGAGGGAAAACAGCAGCTGGAGCAGCAGATGAAGGTGAGATGCTGCAGCAAATATCATGGCACTGCCCAAAAACGCTTCTTTAATGATTTGTTAGTTTGAAATCTGTCATTTTTCGATATGTACTGTACCTTGAGAAATGTCTGTCAAGAGTTTAAATCGTTAACACTCACTGTGAGCAGGCATGTGAACTGAAGTTACGAGACATTGAAGAACGGTTGAAGGCCCTGCAGAAGGAAGTCGCCGGCCTGGATCGTCGAGATAATGAGTTGTTGGCAGAGAAGAAGCATCTTTCTGAAGTCAAGGGCAAAAAGAGGCAACTGGAGCAGAAAATCAGTACCAAACAAGACAGGTACATCTGTGGTGTAACATGAACTTGTATTTACATACATAGCTTAAGTTTTTGATGATCTCTTTTAAGACGTGTTGAGGCTGATTTACACTTCACCATTGTGAACATTTATACTTGTTGTATAAACATACTAAGGCCCTGTTCAGACCTGGTATTACACATCTGTTCTTTGAAATCCAATCATCCAATGAGCAGCATAAAGTTTGTCACTTTCACTGACGATGGGACAATCGCTGAAAATTGTAAAAATCGGTTAATTGTGAAAACTGTAGCGGGTCAGAGGACTTCAGCTGAGTAGGTTGTCCTTCATATGTGGCCCAGGACACGCAGCTCAAAGAATGTTGCCACATGCATCCCAGACCCCCTGTGGCCAGTGAGAGACATTGTAGCTGTTGCAGTCCTTGTCGATTTTATGCAAAAGAGTAAATCAGCCTTTAATTTGCGTATTTCCCTGCTCGTGTGTTTAGTCTCCGGCAGATGGAGCACAGTGTCATTGACCTGAGTGAGATTGAGAAGGAGACTAAAGAGAAAATTGCAGCTGTCAATTCACAGAAGGTTTCCATCGTTGCGGAGTTCATGGCCCAAATGAAGGTATGTTTTTTTTTTAATGTGATATCTGTCTTTATTTCACATTAGCATTTAGCTAGATCTAGAATAGCTTTCTTGCAGATGTTAGGTTTTGCATAATTAAACAAACGCAGAGAAAGAATATAGCTTTTTTTCATTTTATAAGAATGTGCACACATCCTCATGATTTTTCTCTGCCTGTTGTCTGTTTTCATGTATTTTACTGTCATCGTGCTCCTTTTGCTGTCTGTAGCTGAGAGCCAAGCTGACTATACAGAAGGTGTACCTGGCTCTGGACACGGTGGGGCTGACGGAAGAGAAGGCCAAGCTGGAGAATGACTGTAGAGCTGGTGTCTCAGAACTTAAGTCCTTGGATGTAAGTGTTTTAACATAAAAGTTGGAAGCAGGATAGATTAATAACACATTGCTCATCACTTGAATAGGTGTAGAGTAGAGTTTTTTTATAATATGCATTGCTGCAGCAGCAGGAGACTCTCAGCCATAGTCAGCTCCTGTCCTCCCTCGCTAAAAGCCCAGTCTACTGTGATTGGATAGCTGGTGATGAGTTCATGTACGTTAGGACGAAAGGAAGCTGTGAACAGACGAAGCTGCAATTAAACACAACACTTACTATTATTTTTAATCATACAGGTGTGATTCATGACAAACGTAGGGAGGAGCATGCAAACGTCTCACCTGGTCTTAAAGGTATTTACATGCATCCGTTCTAAATGGATTGAATGTCCTTGTGTTCCTGCAGCAAAAATGCCAGCGTCTGGAGCAGAGGAAGGTTCAGCTGACAGAACAATGCAAAGGCCTGTTGAAGAGAGGGAAGTCGATCTGTAGGATGCAGCCGAATGAGTCCTTACCTGAAGACCTGTGTAACGTAAGTGCTGAGCAGTCTTATCACTGCATTCCCTTTTATGCTTCTATAGACGACTATCCTGTAATGCAGCTGTGAACACCTTTTCAACATAACATAATATGTGACCAACATAGTATAATGACATAACAACATCATGCTATGTTAATGCAGGCATTCAGCAAGCTGCCAGACACACTGGATGAGATCGATGCCATGCTGAATGAGGAGCAGTCCAGAGCCGAGTGCTTCACTGGCCTCAGTGAAAGTGTAAGCAGGAGCGCTTAATGTTTTACAAACACAATTATGTTCAGTCTCAGAAGGCAGTTAGAAATTCTTAGCCTGGATATCAAGGAAAGAAATACAGATGATTTTTTTTCCAAGATTGGCAGCATCTCCCAAATTGAAGTATTTGTAAAGTCCTGATTTCAAATGTAGCACCAATAATTAGGAAACATTTCATAAATGATATAAATCCTAAGGATTTGGACACATTAGAACTCAAAACATCCATGTAAAGAATATCTACAGAAAAGTATAATCAGAAAAGATGAGGAGTTTGCCCAGCAAATTATTTGTTGTGTTTTCCAGAGTGTGAATGTTGGTCACTGTAATTCTCTCTGCTGTGAAGGTTGTTGACGAGTACGACAGAAGAGAGCAGGAGATCAAAAATCTGGAGAAAGATCTGCAAGATAAGAGCGACGCTCTAAACACCTACCGGCAGAGCATAGCTGAGGTCTGTGACTATGTTCCTATTATTATTATTATTATTGTTAATATCATTATAACAGAAATCGTTCTTGTGTATAAATGTATGTATAGAGACGTTGTTTGTGTCACAGGCGAAGGAACGTTGGCTGACCCCTCTGAAGCATCTTGTTGAACAGATAAACGCCAAGTTCAGCAACTTCTTCCGCTCCATGCAGTGTGCAGGTGAAGTCGATCTGCACACAGAGAACGAGGTAAATGGAGACATACTCTCTTGATTAAAGGAGTTAAAAGCAGGTTTTGGGGATAACTTGAGCACAAATTTTAAACTTTATATATGGCCTTTTTAAAACCTTAACGCCTGAGTTGCAGGATGCATGTTCAGCACATGATGGCTCCATTGTTGAGCTGCTGCATCTCACGAGTGTCTGTTCTGCTACATGATGTTTTCAGTGTGACAACTGAATAAAAGCAGGCCTATGGACTAGAGTGCTAGCTTAAGTGCATTTCCTTTGAAACTGGTACAGGAAGTGTTGCAAATATTCATGTTTGTTACATATTCCACATTAAAACTGTGGTGAAAGATCATTTTCAGTCCATTTTGCTGTAAATTGCGTGCGGAACACAGACAATAGGCGAGACCCTGACTCTTTCGTGCAGTGCTGCTTACACAGGCAGTTGCTTTCTGACACATGCGTCCCACTTACGCATCCAATGTGGTCCGGGCATAATATTTAACCCCTGATTTCCACCATTTCTCTTTTAAACTGTGCCACATGTTTCAGTAATGAGCAAAATGTGAACATTCATGCATGGCCAAATTGAAAATGTTTGGTTTTATACACCCGTCTCTTATTTTCAGACATATGTGCTAAAACTGAAACATCAGACAGTTCAAACTGTGCTTTTTTTTATACAACTTACCTCTGAATAGTGGATCCCACCAGTTCTTCTAAGAGGACTGATGAAGAATAAAAGGGAAGAATAGGATTATTCATAGAACATGTTTGGATTCAAATGTGTCGTATCAACACAATGACAGCGATGTTTGTCCACTGCAGGAGGAGTACGACAAATATGGGATCCGTATTCGGGTTAAGTTTCACAGCAGCAGTCACCTTCACGAGCTGACGGCCCACCATCAGAGCGGAGGAGAACGGAGTGTCTCCACTATGCTCTACCTCATGGCCCTGCAGGAGCTCAACCGCTGCCCCTTCAGAGTGGTGGATGAGATCAACCAGGTAGCTAACACACACGCATCTCTCTATAGTTGTGAGGACAGTCATAGCATAATGCATTCCCTAGCCCCTAACCCTATCCGCCACAAATACATGCCCTAACCCAAACCTAATTCTAACCCTAAAACCAAGTCTTACCCCTCAAAAAGGCAATTTAATTCGTGAGGACAAAATGTCTAACAGTGTTTCTCTACGTGTCTCTGAAATGAACAACAACACAGATTGATTTGAAGTTCATATTAACTTCCTGTATTCAAGAATTGTATAAGAAGTTTGTAACTTGCTAAATATTGATTGATTTATTTGTCACACATTTGCGCTCCTTGATTTTATGAATAAATCACAGATGTGAATTCAGAGTCACTGCTCACTTGTTTGGATGTTACCGAGTCTGTCTCTCATCTCTGTGTAGGGGATGGATCCTGTAAATGAGAGGAGAGTCTTTGACATTGTCGTCCGAACAGCCTGCAAAGAGACCACATCCCAGTACTTCTTCATAACACCCAAAGTGAGTGTTGTTACCTTCTAATGTATATCTATCTGTATATTAGAGATGTCCCAATACCAATTTACCTTCCTAATACCGATTCCAATGCAATTTTCCAATTGCAATTTCCAATGCAATTTAAGTATTGGCCGATACAGACTGGTCAAATTTGTTTTTCAAAGGGGTTAACCCCCTTTGAAAAACAAATACATATCGAGAATGAATAACATAGAAAATATTTTATTATCTAGTTTGACATTCATAACCAAAAACCCATATTTTCAACACGAGGGTTGGCCGTCCAGAACAATGGACTCAAGTTTTTCTTTATGCATGGGGGGGGGGGGGCTGTCTTTGTTGAATTTATTACATGGTTTGAATGATGTTTCCATAGTTTGCTGCTGCAGCTCGTCCTTTTTCCCTTCGCCTTAGTGAACTCCTCGGGCTCTTTTGTGGGATGGGTCTTCAAATGCTTTATGAGATTGCTGGTGTTGTTACTGGCAACACTAATGCCATCCCGCAAAACTGAAGTCTTGCATATGGTACCCATCACATTTTACATGTGGGACTTTCCAGGGTGAAATATTTCCAAATTGCTGACATTTTAGCTTGCTCTGGCCAACACGCCACTACCAGACATCACTTCTTTGCTGCTCTAAAAACTGTACTTGCCAGTGGCTGCTGCTGTTTTGGAGCAGCAAAGAAGAAATTATTTATTGGAAAAGTAAATTGCTGTTTTATCTGATTGAAACTAATATACTTGAAAGACAAAGATTCACCTATTGTCAATGCCCGACCCAGCAATGTCAGCAGTATCAGAGGGCTTTCTGACCCTGGTCTCAGAACATCTACACTTAATGTGTTTGTTATTAAAAGATGTTGCTCATCGTGATAGACCCAAACCAGAAACAACAACAAAGTTAGCAACTATTTGTTGATAGTGGATAGTGGAGAATACAGCTGCTGATGAGGCAGATATGAGAAACAGAATAAGTGTAAATATTTCCAGACACATGACATTAAATTAAATGCCTCATATCTGGATTGATGTGTGTAAGCAGGCAACTCATGTGTCCTTTTTTTAAATGTTCTGTTGTAAACTGTCTATCTGCTGTATTATGTTTATGCACACATGAATCTGTGCTCTGTTTTTTCCTGAACTTCCTCTCCCACTCTGCATCTCCAGCTGCTGCAGAATCTTCAGTACGCTGATGAGATGACCATCCTGTTTGTCCATAACGGTCCCCACATGCTTCCTCCGAACCAGTGGGACGAGAGGGCGTTCATCAGACGGGCGATGAAGAGGAAAGCCCAGGCATGAATCTAGCCAGAATGTACCATGTACAATTTACCATTTTAACGACAGGGGTATGAAATTGTACTGACGAAGTTTTCCATTTGAAAAGAGACGGACATTTAGAAAACTGGTTTACTGACAGAAAAATAATCCTTGACCTGATTTGTTGCAGCATTTGCACATTTGTTTGTCCATGCAGCAACAGTTCTTTGCATATTTATATATTTGAATAAAATGTTCTGCTGTTTCTATCTAAAATGGGTATATGCATTTTTATTTTATATCTGACAGTTTTGTTTATCCAGATGTTTGTGTTTAAAGGGTTTCAGAAATCATATCACCATCAGTCACCTTTCAATGTTCAGCATGTGTCAAAAACACTTTTAGAAAATTACTGAAAGCTTCATGTAGAAGCTGCCCACGTTCTCCCTGAGGTATTTAAGAAACACTTTCCTCCAGACCCAGGGTCATTATAGATTTGAATCAGAAGCATTACTTTATATTAGTTTCTGAACAAAGACGTCATATGCTGTGATGATAAATGTGGGGAATTTTATTTTCACTGATCTTCTTCCATGCTTCACTTGATGCTGTGAATGGAGCGCCTCTGTGGGTCGACCCACACGATGATATCGCCCTCTTGTTTCTTCTGCAGAGGGTCCTGATTTTCGTTTTCCTGTTTCCTGCAAATTAAGATAGAAAATTATGAGTCACAGTTTGAGAGAATCCCGAAAGAAGTGGAGCTGGTGAGCCGGTCCACCACCACGAACACCCACCTGAGGTCCTCAGACACGGTCTCCCTCTGATATAAAGTCTGGTTCTTTTTATAGAAGAAGTCCTTGTTGTGATCATAGACTGAGTTTAGATGGAGGTCGAGGCTGTCGCATGGAGCCTGAGGCAAAGAAGACCAGTGGTGCATTTTATTATTTGGCTGTTTAAGAGATGGTGAACCCACCCTGCCTGGAACTGACCTGAAGCTCGTCGTACATAACGCTGCGTCTGGTGCTGGCCAACGTTGCTCTATCGTAGAGGCGACTCCACGGTTCCTCAGTCTGGGCGATGTGTGTTGGTTTCTTGCATGTTTGTCTCTTCACAAAGGGAGTGCAATGAAATTTACACCAAGTTGGCATCACATGGTGAGTCACTTATTGCTGAGGGTCATTTTAATATTTATTTCAGGTGTACTAACAGTGGCTATGCTTTATAATCCTGCAAAAGAAGTAGAACACTTGAAGAAAGCAGCAAGAGAAAAGTAGCCATTAGACTCGACAACACTCTGGACACTAACAGTGACATTAACATTACACATTAGAGAGTTATCAGTAACTAAACTACATTACTATCAGATAAACAATACACATTAGTGAGTTATCAGTAGCTAATCTACATGAACATCAGATAAACATTAATAAACAAGTGAATTATTATCAATAGCTAATCTACTTTAACATCAGATGAACATTAATAAACTTAAGAGTGTTAACATCAGTAGCTAAAGTACATAAACATCAGAAACACATTATATAAACATTTATTTACATTATATTGCACACATTAGGGAATGTATTATAATATATATATATATATATATAGTTTGAATATATGGAATGAAAGTTTGAATTTAGATAAATAAACTCACCAGCTGCGGCCTGAAGCCGCTGAGGCTGAACTCGTTTTCGAACTTTGGAGAGGAGAAAGGATCCCTGCTCGACATCTTGAATAACAACACGACGGGAAAACCAAAACACCTGGTTTCTAAGCAACCTATACTTCCCGATTGACCCTTTCAAAATACAACCTTAGTTGAAGACCTTTATCTCCCTGCAGTCTTATTTCCTTCAACAAAAGTGTGTGTTTTCAATGCACTTTAATATTTTATTCCATTGGAGGCTTTGCCGATTAAACTGCCCAACACCTCTTATCATCCAACTGAGCTACAACTGTAAAATGACACTTATACATGTATGCATCAGTAATAGTGATCATATAATGCATGAATATATTTGATTTTGCAATAAAACACCATATAAGTACTGTAAAATGGCAGGTAGGCCTATGTAATGATCCTAATGAATACTTTCACTTTGCCAGGGTTTTTAATGACATGTAATTGTGTGTTTTTTAGATGTATCTATTTATTCGTACTTTTTCCACCAATGCTTTCGAAAATATTTTCCCACGTATGACTGCTATGTAAATGTAGAAATGTAAACTTAGTTTGGTATAAGTATTAATTTATTACTTTTAGTGTGCAGCTCCACATAACATTGGTTCCACATTAAGTCTTTTCAGAAGATGATGGCAAACAGGCACCGGAGCCAATCAGCTTTCAGTTGACGTGTTACACCCGCCTCCTGCAGCACCTGCACCTGAGGGCTGAGGTCAGACCCTCCACTGATCCATCACTTCAGCACTGACGGGAGGCCACCATGCATCGACGCCTGATTCACCTGAGCCACGTTTCACTGTGGCTGGTTTTTGCTCAAGCCTTTGCGGATTTGCCCCTGTGCACAGAGGTGAGGAGCCGCATGACTCTTTTGACACATTATAGATAACAACCCTTTCAGAGTTAATGTTATTTTCAAGTAAAGAGATTATTTCATGGAAATACAAAACTTCAAATCAGTCATTGTTTAAGATTATGAAGCAGAATTTGAAGATGGACATTTCATCTAAGAAACAACATATGATCCATGTGAGGTGAAGAAAAGTTCAGCCTGTTTGTGAGCACAAATTCCAGATGTTTGTAACAGCTCCACTCCTCCTAAAGTCTGATGATACAATGAAACCTGCTCAAGCTCTGTGTTTTAAATTTGTCTCACCGGAGAAGTGACTTTAAATGCTGTCAAATTAAAATGTGCATTTTCTAAATGGGAGTTTTGAATAGATACATATTGACATTGTGTTTCAGCAGCACCAGTGAGACACTTGAACATATCGTGTGTGGGGGAAGTGAGCATATGTTTGCTCTCTGAGTGTTTGAATTGCATTAGTCATTCCCTTGTGCTGTTGCAGGCACTTGTTTTACCAGATCTTCCATATGCTGCATTGTCTGCTCCCCCGTCCTCACCCTTCCATGTTTTTCACTTTGCATAGTAACAGAACAGGTAGATTAAACATTTTATCAGATGACTTTGAATATAACACCAGAGTGTTTGGTTTACCAGGGAGCTGTGAGCTTTTATTTTCAGCTTTGTGAGCCTATAAATGTTCCTCTAATGAGCAAGGAGCTCTGGTGACTGCCACTCTTTCCAGGTGACTCTGTTTCCATGCCAGTCCACTGACCATGAGGCACAGGGGTCATGATGTCCTGTTGCTGTGGTTTCCTCATGTTTGTTTCCAGTATAGGCGATTAGGCTACAGCCCATCTCCACAGTTTGATGCATTTTTACATCAGGTCCTCCCACAAAGATCCTGTTCACCTGATACCCCCACAGCTAATGTAGCAGCTCTAATCGAAAACACAGGCCAGAGAAGTGGTGGTGCTGCTGTGTGTGTTTCTGTTAACTATTAATCCCACAGGCTGTGTCTCCAGGTGTTTGTGTGTCCGTGCGTGTATGGGCCTGGATTAGTGCTGACTGACCTTATCAGGAACAGCAGGCTGGTCAATCAGCAAATCTTAAGACCCCACTGTGCTCAGAACTGACTTGCTTCAGGTGTCAGATCAACAAGATAACCTTTAACGCTGTGTCACGTCATCACAAATAACATTATTGAGGGTGGGGTAGTGTTTGTCAGTCACTTACTGTAATTATCTAGATGCTAAACAATAAACACAGTGGGAAAAAAGAGCTTTACACTTGAGCTCCCTCTGTCTCCAAAGTTCTGGGACAACACCATAATTCCCTGTTTGCAGAAGGATTGGATGAATCATCATTTCTCCCCCCTCGGCCAAGTAAATAAACCCTGAGGCTGCAGAGTCAGCACATCCTTGATGAATGAGATTGAAAACAGTTGAGAATGACTCCTGTGTTAATATTTGCTCTAACTTTTATTTGTAAAAGAGGCTGGCCTGGTCTGAGAAAAAAAGTCAAGAGGTATAAAACAATCTGATTATGCATTTTTAGGAACAGCCTAAATTCTTACTCATGTGCATCTTCTGCAGAGCTGCAACAGCCAATTAATCCATTAGTCAGACTGTAAGTCAGTGGCTTTCTTTCAATCAAAACTTAAAATGTATTTTTATTGTGCAGCGTTCTCTGATCTTACCTAATTCTAGTTTTTATTATTGTAGTTGGTGTCATGACTACTATTTGTTTTTATGTTATTTTTTATGTATGTTTACTTTTATGTGTGCTTTTTAGAAATACTATGCAAATAAATAAATGGATAAATAAATGAAAAAATAGATTTTATGATTCTAGTTTCCCAAATATATGGATTTGATGCCTTTCTTTGTCGTACACAAAGAAAGGCATCTTTCAAAAATAATCAAAATATTTGGGGGTTTAGAACATATAATTTTGTCGAGAAGCTAATTCATTAATCAAATATTTAGATTAATTGTCAGATGAATGGATGAAAATAATCATCAGTCGTTGCTTATCTCTTTCTACTGTTTTTCAACCTGCTGTGTGAAACTCACACCTGTGTTATGTCCCTGCAGTCAGATTATCACTTTGAGTACACCCAGTGTGACGTACTTGGCTCTCGATGGCGAGTGGCGGTTCCCAACAAAGCCAACACATGCACAGGTCTACCAGATCCAGTCAAAGGCACTCAGTGCAGTGAGTTTCTTACTTTTACATGTTGTGTTTGTACACTTTCTGAAAACCTCCACCCTATATTCCAGCTTTCAGGTGTAAATATTAAACTGTATCTGTTCATTGCCATCTGCACATCTCCATGAAGCCTCTCCTCTCTGTTTTTGCCCTTTGTTTTTTGGTGTTTTTTTCCTCCTCCAGCCTTCTCCTGTAGTGACGGGGAGTTTCTGGACATGCAGTCACAGGAATGTCAGAAGTGTACTGCAGGCACCTACTCTCTGGGCACCGGTGTGGCATTTGATGAGTGGGACAGCCTGCCGACAGGTTTTATCACCCATGGGGAGGCAACAAATGGAGGGGACAGCCACACAGACTGCTCCAAGTAAATATATACTGTTCCTCACAAAGTCTTTATACTTTTGTCTCTGCTCGATTGATCGATTATTCTCAGTGTTCAGTTGGTTTGAAGAAACGTAAAATTGAATAGTCTTTGCTGCTGATGTTATTCCAGCTCAACTTGGACACCAGGGGGTGAATTCATTGCCTCAAACACAGATGAGTGCACAGCGTTGTTGTCCTACGCTGTGAGTCTGAAGGAGCCTGGGACTGTGTCCTTCGAGTATTTCTACTCGGAGAGCAGCATCTACTTTGAGTTCTTTGTAAGTGATATAAAGCGACTGTGGGTTGTGATAAAGCTGTTTTCAGCTGAAACACTTGGTGACCTCTTGTTCTTTTCCCTCCTGTCCTGCAGGTTCAGAATGACCAGTGTCAGTCCACAGATTCTGCAAACCGATGGATGAAGACCTCAGAGAAAAACTGGAGTAAATACAAGGTTAGTCCGAGTGCTATCTCTAGTCTCTGGGGGAAACAGGCAATATTTTGGGGCTTCTGATTTACACAGTGGACATCTGGGCCAAGACTCTTCTGTCCCCTACACTGTTTACATTGCAGTGTAGCTGTCGTATATTGGGGTTGCGATGATGTGAAGATGATGAAGGAATCTCAGATGACACTGTCTTAATTGTATAAAATGTTTATTACAAAAAATTCAGCATCAATACAAGCACTGCAGTCTGCCTAGGGAGAGATCCGGGGTCAATGTGCATCGCTCCTGCCTACATTCAGTTTTTCTCAGACAACCTAAACTTCCTCCGATTTTCTCAGGACCTGTGGGCCTCAAACCCAAAGATAAATTTCCTTTAAAGGGAAGACAACACATAACATTTCAGACACCACATAGCTTTAGTCAACAGTCTGTTTTTCCTCTATTTCTTTTCTGTTCCTCTTCCATTTTTCACACCGACTCTTTGCAGGTTGAACTGAACAAGGGCAGTAATGTGCTGTATTGGAGAACCACAGCGTACACTCTGCTGGCCAGCACTGTCAAACCTGTGCTGTTGAGAAACATCGCCATCTCAGGTAGACTAACCCCTGAGTGTTGTGTGCTGCCAGGCTAAAAACATTTCTGCATTTCTCCTCTTCTTTATTTGAATATCTTTGTTAAAGGTTCAGTGTGTAGAATTTAGTGATATCTAGTGGTGAAGTTGCATGTTGCAGCTGAACACCCCTCACCTCACCCTCATCTTCCAAACATGAAAGAGAACCTGTGGTAGACTTCGCATGACCTTTAGTGATTTAAAATTGGTGAATGCTTTTCTTCCAGGTGTGGCCTACACATCAGAGTGTTTCCGCTGTAAACCTGGCACCCATAGTGCTAAAGCAGGATCTGCCCGCTGTGCCCCCTGCCCCGCTGGTACTTACTCCACTAAGGGTGCCACTGTTTGCCATGAGTGTGAACAAGACAAATATGCAGGTATTCATGTTTGCATTTCTAATGCTCTGTCCACAAAGAGAATCATATTACTCACTGGCGTGTTCTTTAACTTGGCATCGCTTTCGTAGATACGTCTGACCCGTGAACCACTATGTATTTGCATATAGCCACACATATAGCACAGTATAATATAGTATAATCTGCATGCAAATACATCATTTACTGCTTTAGAGGCTACACAGTATGTGTAGTTTCTTATCACTGGATCTTAATGTCGGCTGTTTTTTTCCCCTCGTCTGTTTTATCCGGCTTTGTTTCTGTTTTTCAGAGGCTGGTTCAGGGAACTGCAAACCGAGACCAGCGTGCACAAACAGTGACTACTTCTACACTCACACACCTTGTGACTCTGAGGGAAAGGTAATGTGGACACAAAGATATGATACATGGAGGCAGCTTTCATGCAGCTTCACCTCTGCTGAACCTGCCTCATTTTCATGCCTTCACGCTGCCAACAGCTACAGGCCAGATGCATTATTTTTCTGTAAGTGCGTCTGTTTCATTCTGTTGAATGCAAAAGCTGTTTCAGTTTGGTATAAATCATCACTTAGACTCGCAGATAAACGAATTAGATGTTGGTGGTCAAGTCTATATGTTGACAATTTCTTCTTATTGTGACCAGTTGTCAGTTAGTCTCAAAAATGATTTCGATTTTACTGGTTAATGGTCATTGTGACCTCATATGACTCTGGAAAAACATTTCTGACAACTGAAACTGCACTGGTTGATGGAGACATACAACCACAGGGTGATAATTCTTGATCTTTCCGAATCCTGCTGGCCACAATCATCTGTTCTAGCTGTCGTGTGTCCTTAGATATAAAATGTCTTTGCTGACTGTGTCACAGAGGCACTGCTCACCTCTTCCATTTGTTAATGTCGTGCTTGTTGTGTGTCTCAGACGCAACTCATGTTCAAGTGGATTGAACCGAAGATCTGCAACGAGACCATTGCAGGAGCAGTGACGCTTCCTGCGTCAGGGGAGAAACATACCTGTCCACCATGTAACCCTGGTTTCTTTGTCACCAACTCCTCCACCTGCGAACCCTGCACCAACGGCCTCTACTCAAACGGAACAGGTACAGAGCAGCTATCACAATCATCAACAAATTCTATATTGAATTATGAGTCTGTTTATAAAAGCTTAAGTCACTAATTATAAAACACAACTTTTTTATGTTCACATTCAAACTTGATGGTGATGCTACTCAACCCCTATTTTATCCAGTTTTGGGGTACACAGTGAAACCTTTATATTTACGTGATAACGCATTATCTACCCACAGCCTGTGCTCAGTGTCCTGTCGGCACAGAGCCAGTGGTGGGGTTCGAGTACAAATGGTGGAACACAATGCCGAGCAACATGAAGAGCTCCATCTTCAGACGAGAGTTGAGCGGCTCCATCCAAAGAACGGGTAAGAAAATATCCATTATAGACGTCATAACAGCTGACTGTTAACACCGGAAAATGACCTCAGAGCATCACAGCATTAAAGAAATCAGGTAGAGAGTGAAGAATATGACATGGTTTATGCCCAGGAATCATTAATTAGATTTTTGTTTAAAACTATCTGCATTTTGACAGAATAACCTTCACTAAATATCTAATGGTGCAGATGTTTGCAAACAGACCTCAATATCATTTAGTTATTTAGTTAATTATTTTGTCCATGGTGGGAAACTGAATTTAAATGTTCGGCGTCACAATTTCTCACTGCAATACTTGTGGTTGAGGTTGTTATCTATATTTCGAAGTATTTTGCATAGGAGTTATTTTGAAAAGATGACTCACATGATGTTTTGTGTGTGTGTGTGTGTGTGTGTGTGTGTGTGTGTGTGTGTGTGTGTGTTTGTGTGTGTTTGTGTGTGTTTGTGTGTGTGTTGGTCGGAAACACAGACTGTATGTAAGAGAGACAACAGGTCTCCACTTCCTCCCACTTTCTAGAGAACGTCACAGTCTTGTGCATTTGAAGGCTGTGTCTGCGCGGTAGTTAGCATGGGGTGGGGCTGTGGTGTTGAGGTCCCGCTCAAGGAAGTCTGTCTCGGCTGTCACTCATGAAATGTCACCCTGTTTTTATAGCATCAAATTAGCAATTAGAACCAAATTTACCAGACTTTTTAGTTTGGGCTACGTCCAATCCACTAACATTGGCTCGCTGTCATGTCGTCCATCTTTATAAACAGTCAATGGTTTAACAGCATTGGAATGTATCAGTGTGTTTTTTCATCTGCATTCACAGCATGGGAGGTGGCTGGCGAATACATTTACACAGCCCCTGGAGATCAGGACACAGATTATCTGATGCTCATGCTCAACGTCCCTGGATACAGGTGAAGTCAAACATTTCTCTTGAAGAAATTACACATACAACTTTCTGGTGTGTGTGCTCCACGTTGCAGTGTAAGAATTGATTAAAATGTCTCGTGTCTCCGCAGGCTGCCTCAGTCTCTGGCCAAAGACAGTGAAAGGAGAGAACTGTCTCGTATCACATTTGTCTTTGAGACCATGTGTACAGCTGACTGTAAACTCTTCTTCCTCGCTGTGAGTGAAAACCTGTCAGGTGATGATGAAAGACGTCAAGCTTCACATGAACAGGAGTGTGAATAAAATGCATTTCCTTCGCAGGGTTATAATCAGTGGAATAACGTTGTGGTGGAGCAGTGGAAGGGCAGCAACAGCAAACAGTCGTACTCCTACCTCATCCAGAGCAACAGCACCGTGAGCTTCACGTGGACGTTTCAACGCACAGAGAAATTTAACATTGTGAGACACGAACACAGCAGCACATCCCCACTAACAATATGATGATCACTTTCTGTCCCTCAGACATTTTGTATTGACTTTTCAAGAGAAATAAACATGATCACAAAACACAAGAAGTGAATATAAAAGCATGGATCAAAAACTTAGCATTACTGACTGATTAAAATGTCAGCATCATTTTAACAATGACGGTTAAAGACATTTTTAGTTTTAGTTTTGATGTTTAGCTTGTTACAGTTAAAGTTTGTATAAAAGTATACACTCATTTAAGCACAGCATGAGGAACTGCAAGAGGTGAATGAGATGAAGCACAAAGAATGACTGGAAATGTTTTAAATGATCACAGAAGGTGAGAAACTGCTGTAGCATCATATTTCAGTTCTGTTTTTGCACTGACAGAGAGAAGGTTTGACCTCCAAACATTACTCTTAACACTAGAGGGCAGTGTTGAGCTGTGTGTCTGCTTCGGTAATGTCAACATGAACCTTCGAGTGCACGAGCACTTAGGAAGTAATATACTGTGGTGCAAAAACCTTTCCGTAAATGCATTCATGCACTTTTACTTAAGTGAAAGTACAACAATATTACCTGACAAATTATATTTAAAGAATAAAAAGTGAAAGCAGTCGTTAAACCAAAACTTCTCATTAATTATTAATATTATTTCCCCTCTTGATCAACCAGGTCTTTATCTAAAATAATACACCACAATAATTTGTTGATTACATTTTATATTTCTAATCGGAATCTGCAAAGTAACTGAAATATAATTGTACTGCAGTACAATATTTGTACCTGAGTTATGGTGGAGGGGATATAGAAAGTTGCAGAAAATGTAAATACTCAAATCAGGCACCTCAAATTTGCGAACAGGTACAACACTTCAATTTATCCACCATTGAATATATATAAGTATTTATAAAACACTTTTTTTTTCCTTTTAGCAGAAGAAATAATGTCCCTGTGTAAAGAGGGACTCAGCTGGTGACTGAGACCTAATGCTTCTCTTTCCTCAGGAGAGGGAGTACAGTGGTGACATTGCAAAGATCTACGCCATCCACATCACCAACGTGATGGAAGGTGTGGCTTCACAGTGTCGCCGCTGTGCCATGACCTCTGATGAGGCCTGTGTTCCCTGCCCACCGGGACACTATATGGTCAACAGGACAGGTGTGTGTAAGAGATGCTCGCCGAACACTATCATCAGGGCTGAGCAGCCGGTCGGAGAGGATGCCTGTATCCGCTGTGGTCCAAACACAAAGAGAAACAAGGTGAGACGAACAAAATGCTGTTCACTGAGAAACTGGTGAGTTCATGTCCTCAGGTTTATTTCTGGAGGTTTGAGGAATTGAATGTTCTCCTTTAACACATAATTACAAATTATACACTGTGGGGTTTTATTAAAGGATGAGTTTCATGTTTTTAGGTTATTCATCTACCCTTAATTGTATCAGGGAAAAAACTAACGATGATAAAATGAAGTTAGGTTGAACAAGATTTAATATTTACTTCCCTGGAAATGTGTACAGGGCTTCAAAATATCATTTAATGGATGAAGAAAACATAAAACAATAAAATCAATAAAATGATTTAACTATATATGTATCTATATACCCATATATAATAATGCTTGCTTTTATGTACCTTTCTTATTTCTTTTTCATTCTTTTTTGTGTGAAAGTGAGAAAATATTTTTATATTTGATTGCTTATAGCTAATTTACATGAATTAATGTTGACTTGACTAAAGTGCTTTTTTTCCTAATGTGTGCCTTTTTAAATAAGATTTTATATCTAATATATCTCGTCCCACATCATAATTCTTCACACATGAATCCACCCAATACAAACAGACTATGATGTGCATGTAAATGCATGTGTTGACTTCCTGACCTCACCCTCCAGGCCTACTCAGCTTGTCTCAGTGACTGTATGCTGGATGTGAAGACGAGAGGAGGAGCACTACTGCACTATGACTTCTCTCCTCTGGCCAACGCCACCGGCTTCCACAGCAGCCCCCGCTTCACCAGCAAAGGCCTGAAATATCACCAGAGCTTTAATGTTGCTCTGTGTGGGAAAGAGGTCAGAAAGCCATGATCCATATTTATGTTTTTGTGAAATTACATTATCACATGTATTTTGACCTGTTGTGTTTCTCTTACAGAGTCGTATGCCAGCTACCTGTGTGGACAATGCAACAGGGAGTGGGAAGGAGGTCAAAGGTTACCTCTGCCAGTCCACTGTAGTTCCGTCTGAAATCAGGAGTCAGAGCGTGGTGTCCTCGCAGCCGATCCTCATCGGTGACTCACTTGTCGGTACGGACTGAATGCCCTACCTGTAAAATGTGATGATATATTTATAAGATTTCTGAAAAGTGTGATGAAAAGTTCCAAACCTTTATGAAGGGCAGTTAACTCTGGTAGCACACTCTGTTTTCTCACTCACACTGGTTGCGTGCATCAAGATTTTTCACTCAGCATCATAGTGTGTCAGTGCTTAGAAAAACCTGGCTATGTCACACTATTGTGAAACTTTTCGTAAATGGACGTTCTTTCCAAAACTTCTATCTCCGACTGTGCCTTATTTGGTCATAAGTGTTTCATAGAGAATTAGAGTGGACTCTCCTTTAACTCCTCTGTTGGTTCTATTACCACTAATGGTGCTTCAGCTATCCCTGTGAATCCCTCTATGAGTAAACCCCTCACAGTCTGAGGCATCAACACAGGCATTGTTTTGTGGAGATGCAAGAAAAAGGAGTATGAGAGCCATTGGTTTAAACTGTGTAAGTGTCATTCATCAGATAACAAACCTATGTTGTCATTGTGAAGGCATCACCACTGAAATGAAGCTGAGCGGCATCTCCTCTCCTGAATGGCTGTTCCCGTCTGCGTCCATGTTGAAGGACGTCATCTTCTATTACAAGTAAGAACGATCACGATTCATTCTGTTTTATTCATCCACTGTGATGCCCTCAAATACATATTTTTCACAGCAAATGTTTGATACTTAAACCATAAAATGAAATAGAGAAATCAAAATGGTGTAGATAAAATGAATAGATGAGTTTAGACGTTCATGTTTGTCATGTCCGTGACATTTCCAGGTCCAGTGAGACGACTCAGGCTTGTAAACAAGGCAGGTCGGCCGCCATCAGACTGAGATGTGATCCAGCAGTGACTGCTAAAGACCACATCACTCTGCCGAGGTATCTCACACCACAACCAAGCTCGGTTTTCTGACTGAGCTCCCTGAATAAAGTGGCTCCCTGAAGAAACATTTTGCCAAGTGAAGCTTCCAAACATCTCTTTTACTTTGTTTTCCTCCACAGTAACTGTTCAGAAGGGACGTGTGATGGTTGTGTGTTCCACCTCCTATGGCAGAGCCAGCATGCATGTCCACTTTGCACCAATAGCCACTACAGAGAAATCGTCAGCGCTTGTATCCAGGGAATACAGGTAGAGATACTGACAAAAAAAGCTTTACCCACAAATCCATCATAGATCAACTGGAAACTCATCCTGTGTGACAATAATTACTTCAAGATTCTAGATATGTAACAATAGATTACAGAGAAAAAATATATAAAGATGGTTTGAGTTTTCCAGTTCATGTGATCATTTAGCCACAAAGAGCAGCATCTTGTATTTTACTCACTGTAATGTATTGTTTATGTGCACATTTAAAGGAATAGTTCAACAATCAATCAATCCAATTTTATTCATACAGCCCATATTCACAAATTACTATTTGTCTCATAGGGCAGGTGCGACATTCTCTGTCCTTAACCCTTAACAACAATTTGAGGAATTTTCCCCCCTAGAAAACCACCTATGTGTGGCAGCAGCCGTTAAAGTGTTATGGAGGAAAATCTCTACCAGCACAAAAAGTCAGCGCCTGTGTGAGTCTGGATTTCTGGCTCAAGTTTGGTGTGACCACGGGAATAGTTGCTGCTGTGCTGCTCATCACTGTCAGCTGCTATTTCTGGAAGAAGACGCGCAGGTGAGACCATTGAGCTCCACGTTCTCTAGAACTAAAGCTAAAATAATAGCATGAAAGCTTTTCCAATCAGATTTTTGTATCTCTGTCATCCTCCACCTGCAGGTTGCAGTATAAATACTCCAAGCTGATGATGAGCTCTGGGGGAAATGAGTGTGAGCTGCCCACCGCAGACAGCTGTGCAATAATGGAGGGAGAAGACGCAGAGGATGAACTCATGGACTTAACCAAGAAATCTTTTTTCACCAAAATTAAGTCCTTCTCACGAGAGGTCAGTAACAGCTCCATTCGCACAAACACACAGACATTGTTGTACTTGTGTCTTAGTGAGGACACACATTGGCATGATGCGTTCCCTCGCTCCTGACCTTACCCATCACGACTAATCACCAAGCCTAAACCTGATCCTAATCCTATTTAGACTTATCTATTATAATTATTTGATTTAATCCTTCCCGCCTCTCAACCAAACTGTGTGCATTACCTTTAATAATAACAGCTCAAATAAATCAATAGCAGTTTTAATCACTACACCAGACATATTAGTACCAGTTAATATTTTATTCAATTATTTTTCCATTTTTTATTTCCCCCCCCTTAATCAACCCACTTCTCTGCTCCTCCCAATCATAGAAAGTTATTTTATAAATTTTAAAACTACCTCAAGAATCCTTTTTTTCTAACCCTAACTAGATTTTAAAAAATGTATTTCTCTTTTAATATTTTATTATTTTCTCTCATTTCAAAATGTAACCTGACTCAGATTTTTTTTTGCTCAAACCTGACCTCCTCCTCCCACCGTCCTTTCTTTTATGAAGCTGAAACTAGCTTCTATGGGCTGTAATTATCTTTTTTATATATATATATATATGTATAAATATACAACTTAGTCACAAAGAATAAGAATCAATAAGACATTCAAAAACCAGTTGCCAGGGCTCATTCACCACTATTTAATTGTTCTCTATCTCTATCCTGACTCTAAAAGCAAGTCTTAGGCTACAAACAGCTCTTTGAAAAAATGAGGCCTCACACTTCATGAGGTCTATGCTCAAAATGGTCCTCAAAAAAATATAAGTAAAGGCACAGTACACACACACACATACAGTATGGGACTACTTTTCATCCTTCTTGTTATTCTCTCTGTGTTTTCAGAGGACATCAGACGGATTTGACTCAGTTCCGCTGAAGTCGTCATCTTCTCGCTTCCAACAGGAGGATGAGGATTCGGATGAAGCTTAAATCAGACGATGAACAGATCTTTGATGGTCGAATGAATTTGATTTGTTACAACGAATGTTGGCTTACTGAGGGAGTTTAAAATAATGTTAAGAGTGGTGATTAGTATTATTTGTCATATGTTAGGTTTCCAAATCTAACAGTGAAATACAAAGTCTCCACATTGGGGATATTGTGTATTTAAAAAAATTAAAAACTGTGTTGAAAAAATTATCTGACACTGTGGATGAAGTTACACTTTTTATAGATTTGATTGTTTGTGTACATTTAATATAACTTTAACTATATGTTTAATTTTTCTCTTTTTTATTTGACCAGAGATGTAGTTCAGTCAGATATTGTTATTTGTTCATTTATGATTTTTATTTGCTTTGGCTTTTGATAACATTGTCTGCTGCATTTATGTTCAGGCCATTATTTTGTTTTACTGTGAAGTAAAGACCTATTCTACATGTAAAAACTATAAATGTGCATCTCTAAAAATGTATACAACTAAAATGCTGCCTTCAAGTTTTTCTTGTAATATCACATTGCAGAACATGAAACATTCCATCACACACACACACACACACACACACACACACACACACATTGTAAATCTTGCTAAATCAAGTATGGTAAACATTGGTGGAATATTCCTGAGAAAAGTATTGTGCTAAGTATACTTCCTGCAACAACCACAACAGTAATAATAACAATAACTTTATTTTGATAGTTACATTCAGCTGACTCAAAGAGGACAAATAAAACCAGAAGACAAAACTTCAAAGACAAGAAGCAAAATAATACAACTTAATATAAAATCAGACAGCAAATGATATAATACAAAACATTTTAAAATAGAAGATAAAATATTCTAACATCCCTTTAAAGTAATGTTAACAAATTAACAAGGTGCTGCAGTTATGAAAAACCCTGCTGGCAGTAGGGACACCCATGCAGTGTAAAAAGAACAATGTTTGTCTTGTGGAAGTATAAAGTAAAAGCACTCGAGTAAAATGCAAGTTATTTGCAGCAAATCTTATTCCCCTGTCTACGTCATCCTGACCTGCCTGCTGCTGCAACAACTGAATTCCCCAGGGTTGTGAATCAATAAAGTTTTTATCTTATCTCTTGTCTTACTTGAGTCAATGTATTTAGTTAGTGTCCACAGCTGGATGTCGAGGGGGAGTCACTGTTTAATTCCTCCTTTAAAAGAAATGTTATTAGTCCTTTGTTCTTATGTGTAATTTCACATTAGTGATCTTTTGTATATATATATAAAAAAGCCATGTCTTCCGGGAGCAATTGAAAGCAGCACGGGTTTCAGCTCGCGCTGTCCCGGGCCATGAGTTCTCGCGAGAGCCGTCGGTGCGGGCAGTTAGCGGGGCTGTGATCTCGGAGGTGTCTGAGTTAGCAGAGCAGGGAGCGACCAGCGCGAGCGTCTGGAAGCGTGCACGCAGCCGCGGACGGTGATTCTGCAGCGTTCAGCACGAAGGCGCTTCGGTAACACGACGCAAAGTTGTCTGACGGCGAAGAAACCGTTTTCTTTCGCTCCTCTCTGTTTCGGAACTTGGTGAGAAGTTGAACTCGGGCTCGCTCGGAGGACCCAGCTCGGTGTGCGCAGAAAGTGCAGTCGGTGGTCGGCGGCTGGTCCTGCAGGAATGTCGCAGAAAGAGAGACCCGTGTTTTACCGAGAGGAGGTCAACAAGACGATATGGGAAGTCCCGGAGCGCTACAAGAAGCTGTCCCCGGTGGGCTCCGGAGCTTACGGATCCGTGTGGTAAGTCACCCCCCCCCCCCTCCTCCTCCCCGACAAGTTAGTTCGTGGCTCTCCGCCTGCTCACCCAACTTAACCTCCATTCATTTAGACGAGGCCTGTGCAGCAGATGCTAAAGTAAGGTTAGCTCGTCCTGATTGTTTGCTAGCAAGGTGGAGCCACGACGTGTCTCTCAACGAGAAAACACGCGGACTTGTTATTTAATGGCACATTCTCCACCTGTAAATCCTGTAACTCTGCTCTCTAACTCCACATGCACGCACACAGGAAACTGCTCGCTTACATCTATGTTTATCTGCGGAGAAAGTACTCATGTGATCAGTGTGCATGAATCAGCCACATACTGTTTCTCTATAATGTTTATGGTCTTGACCCCTGCTTTGAGATCATGTGCATTATGATTTGACAAATAGATTAACAAAATACAAATAAAGAAGAATTCGATCACTCTTAAATAGTTTCTACACGACAGCTTCACGTGTTGTTACCTGCATTAGAATTTGTTTTACAGTAAAACTGGAAACTCCCACCATGTCTTTTGATGAGGTTAACAGATACTGTTGGCTTTCCCCAGATACTTCATATGTTTATGACTCACCACCGTACACTGCAATATCTGATCATATGAAATGCAAATCTTCATATGCAGTCGGTGCATGCAATTGTGCTCATATTTTCATCAGACTGTGGCAAACACACTTTCACTTTAGAGGTCACAAACTCCGAATATCTGCATCTATCTTGCTTAGAAAAGTAGTTTTAATACTCGGAGATTATATTTATTTGAATGTACTCATTTTAATCAGTTTATCATTTTAGCCCCAGGTATCATGTGGTTTCTCCATATCAGCATTTCATACAAATATTATTGAAATCAGCAGAATATTTTTTTCTAAAATAGCAAATACAATGTAGCCCTTGTGTAGGTAATTTCCACCAGTTACATGTTTTCTTAAAATACTCAAAGCTCTTATACTACTATTGTTTATTGACTATTACCTCTTGATATATATCAGTGGAAAACCTGCTCCATCTGTTGACCCCATTATTTATGACTAGAAATGTTGATAAGATGAAAGTAGCTGGTCCATGAGTTAATTTAACTCACAGTCGATTAATCACTCAGTTACTGATTAACTATCATTTGTTATATTTGTCCTTTTTGGACTGGTTTTCTGACGGTTTAAAGACTTAATGATCACTATTTATTTGTGAAATATCTGACAGATTAGTCAATAATGAAAACCATCATTGTAACTGTACGACTCAGTTATAATACAGCCAGTATGACCATGAAAGAATACATTTTCTGGTCACAGTATTTATGTGTTAGATTGTCTCATCCAATTTATATCACGTCTTAATTAAAGCATTTTGTACAGGGATTTATTTAAAAAGTATTGATTAACAAATCTGCAGCACAAATGTTTGTATTTACAGTGTACATCCGATCATACCTGCTCTCTTATTGTTCTCTTAGTAGAGCACCTTGTTGTTAAGGTGGATAAACTTAATGCTCTGCAGTGGAGGGAGAGTATGCTTTCACTGGATGGACCTTTTTCTTTGGTGTGTTGCTGAAATAGGTGGTGCTGATACTATCTAGGACACAACGACTGTCAGCCGTGCACTTGATTTAGTGGGCAGATGTTTGTTTTGCAAATGGAAGCTGACAGCTGTGCTGTTGCTGGGCAATAGGATAATCTGTTGCCGGCCAGATTACTGACTGCTCACCAGTGTGATTGTTTTTTTTTTTTTGCACCCTGCCTTGTATATATTCAGTGTTTTCATGATGGACTCTACCATTAAGTTATTAAGAATCTCTCACCAGTTATTTTATACTGGAACTGCACCATCTAAATGTGTGTATGACATTGTAGTGGTGGCACACGCAACATTTATTCTACAATGTAATATAAAGCAGCATTGGTGGAGTTATTTATACATTATTTTTACTTAAAGACTTTTTTAATAAATACTTTTTCTCCTTGTTAATTAATTTATGTTTTGCAGTTCGATCATCCAATTTCTGGAATGCAGATTTTCTATAATTTTTTTAATCTATTTGTCTTTTTGCAGGTGATTGGCCTCCTAGGCATCTTTTTCAGCATGTATTAATTCAACAAATTTACATGACATTCACATTAAGACAATAATAAAGGCTAATATGGATGGAAGATGTTTTGGGATTTACAAACTCTTGATACCTCCAGTCTTGGGTGGAGTATCGGAGTTCCAGCTTTTTGGTACATACATTTGTGTCCACGCTATTGCAAAGCTTTCAAGCCCTTAATACATAGACTCTTAGAAATCTAGATGGCCCCTTTTTTGTTTGAAAACTCTGGGTTTTTTGTAAAAAAAAAGGACATAAACATCCATGTTTGCATCTTGGAAATACTTGCCTGGATGGAGAATGGTTTCATTTTAAAATGAAATCTAATTAGTGTGGATGTATGTTCGGGTGAGCTGAGCAGGAGGAAATCTAAGGTTTGAGTAATGGACGCTCAGCCTTGTGAAGGAGTGATTGCAGGCAGAGCTACTGACCCCAATCTGCTGAGAGATGACATTTTCTGCTGATGTCGTCTTTTTTCCTCAGCCTTCAGCAGCTCTTACTGCATCTAATTTGATTTTCAGAGCAAACTCAGCCCACTCTGAGCCATATGAAAATGTTTTTCTCATTTGCCTAAAATTGACCTGCTTGCGTTTCTAGAGTTCACCTCTAGTTTAAACTGCTCAGTACTTGTTTGGCAGGTTTGGATCATTAAAGCAGCCCTTGCTGGCACAACAAATGATCACAAACAAGTTATTAACTATTATTATAATCTTGAATATTTTCTTCAACAGTGCTGCATTAGATATGAAGAATGTTGGGAAGGTCGCTGTGAAGAAGCTCTCTCGGCCGTTTCAGTCCATCATCCACGCCAAGAGAATGTACAGAGAGCTGCGGTTGCTGAAGCACATGAAACATGAAAATGTGAGTCAAGGTGTTTCCTTTCCTTTTGTTTTGTCTGGTGGTAAACAGAGTGTGTGTTTGGTTTGTAATGCCCTACAGTCTGTGGTTTAAATCTCTGTCCATTTTACCTTG